CCCACCCGTTACCGTGACCCCCCTGGAAATAAGAAACGGAACGGAGGGTACCGTGATGCGTGACGTTTCTTCCATACATAGAGGGACAGTATACCAAATTTGTCTGTCAGGGGTGCAGTATCCTGGTCCGGCGCTTTGGAGCATATTGCCATTATTGGATTGCTGTAGTTTCTGGACTTTTGTAGAGAATAGACTGACAAATGAATTTATTGCATGCCTACGAAATACATGGTACATGGTAGCTATGAACATATAACTGTACACAAATAGCCCCATGAAGAGGGCGACCCAGGCAGACTGTTCAACCTCTAGCCCGAGCAATAACCTACATTGACCACTGTCATAGACCTCCAACAGCCCCCTAAATAATATAGCGTCAATTTGAAGTGTGACTGCAGGCCCTAGACAACATACCTTGGTATAATACTATAACCTGATCCATGTTGACGTGGCATGGCCAGACAATGCGAGTCAGCTACCAGTGGAGGCTTGGTGGAGGCAATAGCGTGCGAGGGAGGCAGAGTGAATAAGTGTTGTTACTTCAAGTAACATAACTTACTTGGGCATAAGTTGAGACCTGGTGCTGGCGGGGACGCACTGGAGGAGGTCAAGAGGGTAATAGAGGTCGAATGGAGCACTCAATTAATGAGCTAGCGGAGTTTGAATGGACTTGTAAAAATCGAACTGTTGACCTGGTTGACCCCAATTAATGGAGCCATCAGCATGGTTGGGATCAATCAGAACCTGAAAACCATAGTAAAACGATAGTACGAACTAAAGCTACACAATTGTTGGCTCAAACAATGGTATAATCATCGTTTCAACCATGGTTATTCGTAGTTCAGGTAAACTAAGGTTTGACACTAGTCAAACCATTGTTCAACAAAGATTCAATCATAGTTTTTTCATAGTTCGGGCCAACCATTGTTCAACCATGAATGAGGCCTTGGCCGTGTAAGTGATTCGATAGCTCTAACCTCACGTAGCGAACCACATTTCAACATGTCACTTATGCAATGAAGATAATTAATATGCTTATCGACCAAATCAATATGAATCTCCTGCTATCCAGTTACCAACGCTCACCATGGAGCAGGCTTCAAGTTCCACTCAGGATAAACCGAATGGAGCAGGGGGTCAGTTGAAGGTGCCAGGATTCGGACTTCCTCTGGACTATGGCTCCGGCACAAGACCCGGGAGAAAATTAGATCTCTTCATGAACGCACTAGGTGGCAGAGACATGCTTGGTGGAGGAGGGCAGTGCGTGTTTCTCCTCTCTTTCTCAAAAAAAAAACTCAAGTAAACATGATACATGAAGACTTCCGTTGACAACGCTGCGCGAATTCACAATGCTAGCATTTATGAACCAGATCACTGACAAACCAAATTGGTATGAAAAGGTCAACACCCTTTTCGCATCGTCAAAAATGTTGACCTTCAATTTCTTACTATAAATTTGTGGAAAAGGTTCTTGACAATCAGATCAGCGCAAAATGGGGGACTGAAGCCATTGCGGGCGACATGCAGATGTCACAAAAGATGATTGACTGGTGCCTTGCCGAGCTCCGATACAAAGCCAAAATCTTTTCGCAAACAGGCGCTGTAAGCGTGTACACCGGTGATGTTGTAAAATCGGACACAGTTATCTCTCCTGCACTCCAAGAGGCCCTGAAGAATGGAGTGGCTGCGCTTGAATCTGTCCCCGAACACTGCAAAGATTGGCATCCCGGCTCTGATGAAAAAGTACTCGATCTGGTGCACCCTTCGCTGTTTCCTTTAATTTACGGGCGCAGTCGCATCCTTCCCGAAACTCGGCTGGGACTAGAGGACTGTATTTCTCTTAGTGGAGCGGGTGTAATTGTACCTATGCCGTTACACGAAGAGGAAGTCCCAGGCCTACGGTACTGGCGACGAGCAACTATCAGTGCACCTTTCAGCAAGAACTTTCAATGGCTACCCTGCGATGTCGATATCTCTGCTGGAGAAGGTGCTGCCAGGTACGGTTGTTATTCCGTCATAATAAATGCAACTGACCTCTCCCCTATCAGAATTACCAGCTACATTAACAACTTGCATCCAGAACACCACAGTGATCTGTATGGTATCATCGAAAAAATCATTGCACGCACGATTCCGCTCTGGAATATGACGCTAACGCCGTTGAAAAGTGCGGACGTTAAAGTTTGGTACCAACGCATCGCCTACAAATTTTGCGATTATGACCCAGACCCGGAGTCATGGCCCGAGACTGAGGGCCCGCAAAAGCAGGAGGACGAAGATGAAGATGCTTTCCTCGAGCGTCGGGCCGATTGGTATGAAGAACAACGCGTCGTCATCTAGCCGGAACCTGGGCCATTTGTTCCTCCAGAAGAATCACCGCAGAATGTGGTCAATATATGGAAGGATTATGCAGAAACAGGAATCCAGGTCGTCATCAAGCTCGCCAATATTCATTTGACCCCTGAAAAGCCAGAGTATGAGGGTGGTTCATGGCACGTTGAGGGTCAACTGGTAAGACCCGGTATTTCCTATTTATCCTGCGATCAAGCTGAACGACACCTAGAACGAGCACATCTGCGCTTCCGCAATATACTACTATGACTCAGAAAATATTACATCCAGTCGCCTCGCCTTCCGCCAGCAATCCAACACCCGCCCGCGCGTCAGTTACGAACAGGACCACCACGACTGGCTAGAAGCTGTCTTCGGGTGCTCCCAGAATGAGCCCGGTGTGCAGGACGTTGGGACTGTAGATACACGCGAGGGGCGCCTCCTCACCTGGCCCAACGTCCTCCAACATCAGGTCCAGCCATTCGCACTGGCGGATCGGACGCGCCCGGGACACCGCAAGATCCTCGCGTTATTTCTGGTAGACCCCAGCATCCGGGTGATTTCGACGGCGAATATACCATGCCAACAACGCGAATGGTGGTCGGAGGCGGTGCGCGGCGGCGATAGTCTGCTAGCACGGCTGCCAAAGGAGCTTCAGGATCTGGTGTTTGAACAGGTGGAGGAGTTTCCGATTGGTTTAGAGGAGGCGAAGGAGGTGAGGGCAAGACTTATGGATGAGCGGAGGGTATTCGTGAGATTGAATAATGAGGCTTTCCACCAGTACGAGTTTTCACTTTGCGAGCACTAAGAACGGGTAACAATGTGGTAATGTACATATAATAACTCGTATCTATAATATTATGACCGGCTTTCGTATGGTCATGTTGTTCTCCTCTCCGTATTGGGGCTGCAGCTCTATTGTCCGTCATAATCAAGCAGCCGGAGCGGAGCGATGGCAAGTCTTGTTTATGTTACCAAAAATGATGCTGCATGCTTAGATGTGCCCACCTCATAGTCTACAGTATAGTATGTATAATCATAAGGACGCTTGGTTAGTTAATTACAAGGTCTCTTGATTGGCAAAAACAATGACTGATTCCCTCTAGCCGACTTGAACGACTGACCTCGTCATCCCATTGTAAGGGTGTCCCGTGGAATACTAGTGACGCGCTCTACCACTGAGCTAAGAGGGACCTCTGAGTCCAAGCAAGAAGCCATATTGTGGACGACACAATAATTGTATTGAAATATACACGAAGGTAAATTCACATCAAGAAAGCACATTACATTGTTGATAGCCTACCAAGAAAAACCAATCAGAGTTCTCATAAAGCTCAAACAAGTTCGAGAACTTTCGCGATTCCAAGGGCACCCGCGGTCGCGATAAACCAAGAAGGCGACAATGTGGCCACACCCGAGTGCTTTGGGGGCACAGGTAGAAAGTGCTCGGAGTCCACTTTTTGTTGCTCAGCAGATTGCTGAGGAATAGTATGTCAGCAATGAAGAGAAAAGAGGTATCTTCTTGTTTACCTTGAACGCGACGAGACCGACTATTACCCCAAGCCCAAAGAAGATGAATGCCTGGATAAGCCAGATCACACCCCAGACTAGATTACCGTTAGCAAAGTATAAGGTAAAACGGGGACGACGTACCCTGTGAGGGGAAGCAACCGCAAACCTTGGCGAACGCACTCGCGTCTGATTCGTTGACTTTCCTGGCTATTGTGTCATCTGTGGGTCACGCGTCGGATGTCAATAAAGACAGGCCTTGAAAATAGACCAGGTACATGCCGATAACATCCCAGAGAACATACATGCACGACATGACCCCAACGAATAACACCTATCATATGTCAGGACACGAGTCAACAAGGGGAACGAGAAGGGGTCTCACGAAGTACCGAAGGGCTGCACCACCTGCAACGAACCAGAAAAGAATAGTTAAGCCAGCCATTCCGAAGATCAACACCCATGTCCTAGTGTACGACATAATCAATCGATCAAGAACTTCTCAGTCGGAAAGAAGCGACATACAATAGATTCCGTCGCGCCCACCAGAGGGTGAACAGGAAGAACACGGCGAGCACAATGGATGCGATTTTACTCGCATTAGTGTTGAATCCGCATGCAATCAGGCATGCACCGATGAACGAAGATCCAAGGTATCCTGCAGGCAGTGTTATCCAGGGTATACCACCCGACATCCGCGTTGACCCGCCCTCGTCCGCTGTTTAAAAAATGAGTATGGGCTAGCGCTGTTAAACATAGTTTTGCGTACGGTCGAGTTCAATAGAGTGTATATGCGCACAGGTCAGCACGCCCATGAGCGCATGGCTCATCTATATCAAGAGGCAGCGTTTGTGAGTGCGGACGTCTTTCCGCAGCAGAAAACGCCCCAGTGAATACCTCGTGAAATCCAACGGTTAAGAGTCTATGGAAAACCAAGAATTACAGCGCTGCAGATAACCTGAAGGAAATTCACATACTTGAAGGGGTATACTGAAAATTTCTCAAGGCTCAATGAGTGCACACTCTCTTCCCATCTCCGAACTCACTTATTTTATTGAGGTATGGAACATGCCTGCAGACCTCAATTTTCGGTCATCTGAGAGGTTGATTAAAATCGCACCATAACTCACCACAAGATCCCGATAGCCACAATATAGACTCCTGCGACTATGAGCGTTGATATCTGGGTGTCGTTTGGTGTTACGCGCGTTTTGAAGTCGCGTACATAGTGAAAAGTAGCGCTTTCGACAATATTAGCGTCTAGAATGGGCATTTATGGGTCGTTAGTGGGTCGTAGAGAGCTAGAGAGGAAAAAGGCAGTCGATGTGAGAAAGCAACAACTTGCAATGATCTGACTATTTCCAGATGTGGCTGTACCCGTGGGGACCAATATAATGTATAAAAGTATAAAGCGGGCATCCTCAACATCTTGACACTGGGTGACTTCCCGTAAGGTCTGAGACCAATCTGGAAAATCCTAGTTGCAGAATTTCTCATCAGCCGAAATGCCGTTGCTGGATTAGGTCGCTAATCCGGTCGCTATGCGTCTGAAAAGCTCAAATTTGGTCTGGGGAGGCCTCCCGACCCCTCCCCAGACGAGAAATTCGTTTCTAAATCCTATCGGCCTGATGGGATCTCATCAAAACTTGATTTTGGGCGTTGCTAGCCTTTCCAGATGCCTTTCAGATTTCTTACGGGAAGTCACCCACTCAACGCTCAACACTTTACATGGAAAATGTGTCTCACTGGTCGTTCTAAAATTTACAGGAAGGTCCAAGGTCCAACGCATGCTACTTTTTGACTCCCTCTTTTGCGATCTCTATTGTTCTTGAGGATGCTCGTTATCAGTTTTCGGCTATCGGGTTTCTTATCGTGAGCAAAAATCGTCCAGAATACTATCGACTACCATTGATTCGTCAACCCTGGTATTTCGTCATTTTGCAAAAATCTCACCTTAGAGGGCTTCTGCGAACCTGAAACTTGGTATACAGTATCTTATTCTATGTAAAAACTGTTTCGCGAAGTTTTGAAGTTCGTCATTGGATTATAGCAGGAGTCCCCTCTGGGGGAGGACTTTGGACGTGATGCTTAGAAATGTCACTCTTGCCGTGCAGGCCGAGAACAATTTCGACAGGGTCAAGCTCATTCATCAGGTCATCCCATTCAATCATCCCTCGTCGATCACTCATCGGTCGGTTCATCAGGCAAGTAGGCAGACTGCCGACTGTGACTGATTGTGACCTGACGAGATAGCGGGGTTGACGAATGTGTGGTAGTTTATAGTAGTGACTAGTGCGTTCATGATATCAGATTCTTGTTTTATCACTCATACTGACTTGAATGATCTATTACTACTTAAATAATTAGAACCTCAAGGAATGCATCGATAACCGAAGGCATTTCTACGACCCCTCTGCAGCTACAGTCTCAAGCAAAAGCTATCGCTCTTGTCTCAGAGATGACTTCCTCTATGGGTAAGAGAGAACTTACCACTTGCATCCGTTGTGCTTCAACTGGTCGACGACGCTGGGGGTTACTCAAAACTCTCTCCGGGATCCCTCGATGACTTACCTATATTTGTGGTTTACGATCGGTCCCAAACTGGCAGTCGACGCTTCGCATTCTTCGTTATGTCTTCTCCAGCCTGAGGCACTCCGTTATTCATGGATAATAATTGTCGCACGCCTGCCCACTCTTCCCATCATCAAGAGGTAGCGCCGATGCCGATCTTCGACACTAACCCACGCTCAACCCCCCCCCCCCTCCTGCAGGGGCCCGGGTGTTGCCTCGATGCCATCAGCCATTTGTCAGCGCGTTTGTCTCTTCAATGCATTGCCTCGTCGATTCGAGCGGATGTATCGCCAGTTTCGAGAATCATTGCACAAATTTTTGACGAATCAGCGGTTGGGCTACAGCAGCTCGAGAAAAGCCGCAAATGGACGCCCCTCACCCCCCAGCCCGAGCGCGTCATCCAAAATCCCCAATATTTTCAGCTGCAGGAATTTCTTCAATGAAGAACTGTAATTTTATCAACGAGGATGTAATTAATTAGTGCTATGGAATGTATTCACTGAGTACGTTGCTACTTACGACTTTTGCTTGACTTTTGCTCTGTCTCTCTATCTCGAAATGCTGCGGATGTTTCCGTCTTGATTTTGCATCACGGCGGCAGGCCACGGCAGGCGCTTACTCATCTTACAGGGCTCCCTCGCTTCGCTCAACAGTGTTGAAGATCTGAATCGGGGCTACCTCTTGCTTTTCTGGCATTCAAGCATCTGACCGAAATTGTCAAAAAATGTGTTTTACTTGATTTTTATGTGTTAACTTCCTTAGTCAACGCGTGGCTACAGCGATTTATCAGGAAGAGAGGCTTGTTCACTAACAATGACTACATATGTGGGCTTTTGTAAGCCATATGAATCTAGCTGGAGCGGGTTGAACTCCAAAAATTTTCACGCAGTGCAAATTGGCCTCACCTGGTGGGCGAGGTGGAGATGCTCGCTGTTAGAGACGATGATTGTGGATGGGTGCGGGACTGGTAAAGGTGACGAAAGTAACAACGGAAACGTAAGAACATGGCATTGGGGCATTTTGATTTTCATCTCCGGGCAGGAAGAGTGGAAACAACAGAGAACGAAGCAGGGCACTCACGCCATGCTAACCGCCAACTGGGAGACACCTTTCAAACGCTTGAAATTTGCGCGTCCAGAAGGGCTGGGCTCGTCGATAAAATAATCCATATTATGTTTCACTAGACCATATTTTCTCTCTCCAATTTGATGGAGGGAGGGGCGTGGGCGCAGATTCCGTCAAGCTGGACCTGTCCGATGTCTGGGAGTGATGCTGAAGCGCAGTGTAATGACTGAGGCAAGTAGGAAGGTAATTATATTCATGACGGTTTGAGGGCGATATATTATCGCTTTTAGGTGCGGCTCAGTGAGTATTTGCGAAAGGGTTCGCTGTGTTTTATCTTAGCGACATGCTCAACTTGTTTGGTCGCAGTAAACGGCACGTTAAAGCAGCACCACCACAGACGCTACGCGACTATTTCAACCGGATTTGAGATGTCCGTGACGAGAAAAAACACACTAAAGGAGGCAGAAAGTTGGATTCGACGAGGAGCATCCGCCGCACGCACTGATGCGTTGCGGTGATAGGCGGTGATGTGGACGCCACAGGAGTTTGCTTGGCACTTCCATTCTAGTTGTCATCAATAGGATTATATAATGAAGCTTGAAGTGGTCCCGGCCAACCACCGTGACAATAGCAGTGAAAGCTCAAAACATAGTGGGAAGGGTTGGAATTCTTGAAGGCTCAGCGCTCAGACTTCAGATGACTCGACAAGATCTCCATCCCGACTGTTCTAGCGAACCTTACGACCTCATGTTACCTCTTGATCGAAGTTTAGAAGTTGTCGGAAGTACCGACCTCGGCCAACCGCGCGGAGTATAGCATGTGTCCTCTCGAGTATAACTGTGCGCGTGGTGAGTTTAGTATATTCCTTTGTATATATTTATTAATATACAGGGGGTATTCGTATCATGGGAGAGATGAACTCCTTTTGACATTTGTACACGCCGCGGCCTCTGCCGTGAATCGTTGACTAATACTGCATGCTCATTGTTAGTCACAATTTGCTCGATGGTTTCTTCGAGTCTTTGTACAGAATAAATTTATGGCCGAG